TTCGCGAACAGCTCGTGTTCGGCTCGTTCGTTAAGAAACGAACACGAATAGTGACTTCACGAACAACTTCAAACACGAGCTTATTTCAAACAAATTAAATTTCAAATGAACCGAACACGAACATAAATTCTATTCGTTCGTGTTCGATTCGTTTACACCCCTATACTAGGACACTACGCGTTGGCATGCCTCCTTTGACTGACCGCGGTACAAATTGGTATTGCAATTAAAGATGACTAGATTAGTTTAGATGAATACATGCTTTAATTTAGAGGTTGACCAGTAGCATAATGGGAGATTTGCATAGACACCTCATAATTTATGGGTTTTGTAAATTTTATTTGACAGCGTTTGGAGTACCATTTATCAATAAATTTCTTTGATGGTTATTGTTTTCTTCATTGATTATTATTTTTCAGAAAAAAAGAGAAAATTTTGCAATTTTCAGGTCCTTGTGCATAAAATCCGTGCTTGGTCATTCAATTAAATTAACAACTATTTATTTAAAAAGAACTGGCCATTTTAGCTAGGGTTCAATTGGACTGTAAGTGAAGCATTATGCTCAATCAAATTTGTTTGATTAATGAATGAATAATTTTGAAGTTTTTCAAGTTGTTGTCAGATTTAGAGGAGGAGAGTGATGAGAATGATGGCGGATCGTCGAATGTAGGAGGATTGCCGAATTTATGACTCGCTCTCGACTTTTTCTTGTAGCTTAGAAAAATTTTCTTTTTTCTTCTTTCCTAAACACTTGTAAAAATATGTTTGAAAATTTTGGAAGTTCTCAATTATGAATGAAAATGAGATTTTGTTGTTGTTGCAATTTTATTTTGTATCTTTGTAGTGAATGATTTTGTCATGAGCGTCTAACGTGATGATTGATTGGTTGGAAATTTTAGGAATGTTTTTGGTTGATCCACCGAGTTACTCATCACCTGAAACATGTCTTGGTCGCTCGAGTAGGTCGTCTCCTTGGACAACCCGTAACTTACGCTAGACATATTAAGTGAAGCTTGTCACAGTCTTCACGGGGGCAACCATTTAGATTTGCTGCTAGGGTGATTCGTATTCTACTCATCACAAATTTTGTCGCTAATTGGTATAGAATCTTGCCGCCATAATTTGACTTATTTCAAGCAAGGAGACATTGAATTTTATAATGCATGAGTATTGTGAGTCGGATCTTGTGGAATTTATTGATCAGACATTTATTTCTCATTGTTGGTTTTTAATGAAATTTTGTTGATCTGACATTATCTGTCATTATTAGTTTTTTCGCTTCTATAAAATCATTGTTGATGGGCCAGTTTGAGTTCCTTGAGTATCAATTGAATTTGGAGATATCTTGCTTAAATTCCTCGAGTTTCTGAGTGTTGGTAGAACCTGGGATCGTACGCATAATTAGGAAAATTTCACTTAATAATTTTTATAAAGTTGACATTAGAACACAAAACTATGAACAATAACACATTTTCATTACCAAGGTACAAATTCTTTTTCCTAAGGATGAATTTCTTCAAATCTTCTCCACTCCACATTACAGGCACCCTTTTTCACTTATTGGTATTTATCTTACACGCTATGGAGTGACTCGTTTGTCAACAATGGATGACGTGATCCACGTCTGTTCGAGGTTTTCCATGGCTTATCCTCACATAGTTGGGTCTGTTTTTTTATTTAGTGCGAGGTCTCTAACAATCAATCCTTTCAAATGTGCTAGTTGTAGTGTCAAGCGATACCCTTCTCGGTTCAGGTGCACTTGCGCACTGGGGTTTCACGCAAGTATATGTGTCAAATTAGTAATATCAGATTTATGAGTCCGAAGTGAGTGAGACAGTTAAAGTCTTAAAGAAAAGTTCTAGCTTACTAAAATAGGGCTAGACTTGTATATGCGATGTCTAACTGCTAGACTTGTATATGCGATGCCTAACTGCCTTTTTCTCGTTTCTGAGGTATGTTGTCGACCTAGCGGTGCCGGCTTTTTGTTTATTATATTTGGTGTGGTTTTACTTTTACAGTGTGATTGATTTTTCTTCGTTGTTATTTACTTGTGGTTTATTTAGAAGTCATGTGAACAAACTTTAGGCTCTCTATGACCTAAGACTTTAACTTTTTGTACAAAATTTTACTAATAGAAAATTTAGATTAATTAACATTTAGGCTTAAAATTTCTCAAGATTTTAAAATATGCTTTTACTTTCCTGTTAGGCTTTCATGTCAGATTTTGAACTGATTTGCATTACATGGGCATAACCCAAGTCATATCTAATACGACCTCCATATTATGGTTGATTAGCTCACTACATTATTTTGCATGTTCCAAGCAGAAGTCTCAATGCTTCTTTAACCCAACTGGTTCAGCATGGGTTTCTACTTAAGTGGTTGTCTAGCACGTTTAGGGTGCTAAAGACTTCCTCGACCCAAATATGGAGTAAGTCCTTTGTAGGAGTTTTTGTCAAGTTTGTAGTTAGACCTCTCTGCTTTTTTTTCCACTTCAACAGCTTTCTCGCCACTTTGGCAACTCTTTCTGCCTACATAGGGCCATAGGATTTAGAGTTTCATTCTCTTGACATTAGGGCTACCGAGGTCCACTTGGATGACTAAATTCATGGATTGTTGATAAGGGATCTCTAGTTTTGTTGAGTCGAATATCTTCACGACCAGGTAGACTTAAGTTGTAATAGTTTGGGATGACGGATCCTTAATATTCTGACTCGACGATCTCTACCTAATTAAGATTACTCTACCCTTCATTTTCTCACCCACGTTGAGCCCCATCGCTTCTTTTAATGCTTCATTGATGTTATTTTATAGGCTTCAATTGTGGATAGACTGCCACCCATTCGGGATACGGTAATTCACCCTCTACACTTATGGTCTGGTTAAGCCTTGGAAGCATGGTGTGGATCATATGAGTCAACTTGGTTTTTTCACGGGCCCCGTACATCAATGAGCTGCTACCCATTTGGGACGTGAGAGATTTACTCTCTACCTTATGGTTTAGCAAGAGCTTTGAAAGTAGCGATACATTCTTATGAGATAACCTCCCTTTGTGGCATACTTTACTAATCGTTATATAAGTGTAAGTATGACTCCTTTTATTGAGAGCATTATTAGGCATCTTCAAGATGTAATTAACTAAAGGGATACATCCCTTACAGAGTGACACTTAAACTCAGAACAAACAAACACACTTGATTATCTGGTTGCAGGTTGTTTTCGTAAGATTTTCTTGGCGAACATGTTCCAAAGCATTTTTTATTCGATTTAATTTTAGACATACGATTTTAGGCTATCACACAAAGTTTGCTTTATAAAAGTTATCCATATTATTTCTCTTGTTTTTCTACCTTCATTGTATGTTTCTTGTTTTCCGGTTTCTCTCTTCTACGGATCATCCATATGATTCAGAAGAGAGATTTACTCGGGAAAAAAATCATATGATAATAGACAAGCTGACAACTTCAAACAAAAAAAAAGAAAACAAATAAAAGCATTGTGTCCCTACTTAAGTTGACATAGGGATTGCACACTCTTCTTAGTTTTTCAAGCACTGGCGAACTGTGTCAAAAAAAGTCTTCTGAATTTCACCAAGCAGGTAATTTCCTCGACAAGTAGTGCATTGAACTCTCAGAGCTGATGACCTCAACATAGTGAAAAATAGTCGGCATTTGAACACATTGGAGATCTTTAACAAGCTTATCGATGATTCGAAAGATGCCAGGTGGTTGTTGGGATCCGACCATCTTTTATAGGATTCAAAAGCTAGGAATTTGAGTTTCTCCGGGGGTTCAAATCTCGAGATTTGAAGGGAGAAATCATTTTTTGGCTGTCGTAATACTTCAGTTCG